GGTGCTGTGGCAACAACCACCATAAAAAATCCTCATAGCTTTTGTTAAAGAGATGGGGAAACAGTTCAAGTACCAAAAAAGAAACAAGCATTATAAAACCCCTCCCCTCTCCCTTTCTGGGAGAAAATATCCCACAGATGACATCAACAGCAGTTAAGACCCTTTATTGCAGGGGACTTAGACATGGTGGATCTGGAGTGCAGCCTTGCTGTAATTTTATATGCAAACTTATTTCTTCAAAGTGAAAACTCGTATTGAATAGGGAGAAAACTCCACTTTCCATTTCTGATGCTGGACTCTCACATCTCTTTCAGTTGGTAGCACATGCCTGGCAAAAACAGACACTTTGGGGTGGGAAATGCACAGCACCATCAGGCTGGACAAGAATTAGCTGTATTTGCCATAACTTGTAGCCATACAGCCAGGGAAATTGTTTTGGCTAGCAACCACAGGTGCCTTTTAAACCTGAAGACAAGAGACAGAAGCTAGACTGCGCTTTGTGAAGGATGTGTGAGAGCAGAGGAGTCTACTACATTCCAAGAGATGTATGTTGGAATGAGACTAAAAGTGTAGATGTGGTAAGATTGTCCAGCCCTTCTCTTCTGCCTACACTGATCACACCTTTTTCTGCCAAAATGGGAAGTAAAATCCTACAAGTGAAACCCAGGAGACTGTGGGAGTGCTGGCAACACTGACAGATCATTTTTTCCAGTTTGATCTTCCTCTTGGCGTAAGTGTCAAACTATACTTCTCTTTGAGGGCCTGACTGTGTGAAGGACTCCAGGAAGGATGTGTGAGCAGAAAAATCCATCTCACAATAATGATCAACAGCTTGTCCTAAACTGCTTTGTTGGAAACTAAGCCCATTCATTTATTGACCCTTACTCTTTTTTTTTTTTACTACACAGAAATAAAAAAAATAGAAAAAAAAAAAAAGAAAAAAGGAGGGGAAAAAGGAATTTATGGCTGTGGCACAGATTTTAATTTTTACCTTTCACTGATCTTACTGAAAAATTTTGCACAGTAAAATAAGTTGAGCTTTTATTACTCTGAGTAATTTAAGAGAAGAGGCCCTCTGTTCCCTTCCTTTATGAAGCAAAATCACTTAACATGTGAAGTTGTGTCCTAAACTACATTTACAGAAGGAAAATTTGAAGGCAGCTAGGAAACATTTACGAATGTTATTTAAGGTTTGCAAGCTTTCTAGACCCTCCCCCAGCCTTTTTAGGTAGGTGTTACACCATACCCTTACAACTTTCGGCCCTGAGGGGTCTTAACTTACTTTTTTGTGGCTGTGGATGGCTGCTATGTACAGCAGAGTACCAGTTCTGACCAGCCTTAGGCTGAGAACAGTGGAAAAACAGAAAATGAATACTTTTCCTTTTTTTTCTTTTTATGATCACCCAAATGAAGTTTGGCTATACTCCCTCAATGGGAAGTTATTTTACCCCTTTCAGAATTTTTCAGCCCAGTATGACACACATAAAACCTCCAGAAAGTGGCAGCACATTTATGATTTTTCAGAATAAATTCTCCTCTCCCCTGCCTACTCTCAGTTCAGCAAAGCCATGTGTGTTAGCAGGGAAAAAAAGAACCAACCTTTTCTTTTGCAGACTCATTAACAATATTTATAAAGAGTACAAGGTCATTGTGACGCCAGGCAAGCAGAGGGATCTAACAGTATCACAGAAAGCAAAGAAAAAATGTAAAAAAATCACCAAAAGAAGTCACCAAAAGGAAAGTCTAAGAAAAGTATGGTGCTTTAAGAGAGGCAAATTCAAGTTATGATTAAAGAATTAACATGCTGGACAAAGTGGTTAAAAGGGGGAACAGAGCGGTAATGTTGCAATGTGGGAATGTTTTAGCTACTTTGCTTCTTATCCTTCAAAGTGCATTATTTTTCCAGTTTTTTGCTCTTAAAATGCTTTTGATTAAGCCATTAGTATCAATAGTAGTGGTCACAACAGCAACAGCCCTACAATTGTTTAAACAAAGCAGGGCATTTGTTTGAAGTTTCAAAAAAAAAAAAAAAGCAGAAATATTATAAAACAGTGCTATCAAAGCCTTTTTCTTAAAACAACTGCATTAACAATCTTTGAGTAACTAACCAAAACCATACTCAACATTGTCAGATAGCAGTGATTGCTTGGGCCCAGTCTGGAACAAAACAGTCCCAAACCAGCCAGGCTTGGTGTGATGCCAAGCCACATCTGTGCCATATGTTTTGTGGGGCACACAAGCTGCTCCCTCAGAGGTGCTGCTGCTCTGAAGCCACAGGGAGTGAGGCCCTGAGGTTCCCTCAGCTCCTCTGCCCCTGGGTGCCCCTCCTGCCCGCAGGGAGGTGACTCCCTTGTGCTGCCCCACTCAGGGCTCCAGCCGGGGGATGGGGTGGCTCTGCTCCCAGCAGTGACACCACCCTCCTCCCCAGCTGCTGCCTAGAGGGACTTTGTAGTGCAAGTGACTGCACTGGTTTATTATGGCCTCTGGGCACCTTGTAGGAAAGATCCCAGACACCTTCAGAAGCAGCTGAAATCAATGAGATCAAGTGTGAAGTGCTCAGCCAGTGAAACTCCCAACCGCTACACAGACCCCCACTGCCACACACACCAGCACCCACACCGTGTTTTCTGCCAGGTCTTCAGGTTCAACAATCCTAAGAGAGATGTTGATACCCCCCCAGGTCTGCTGCCTTGGTTTCATATCCTAACTGCACCTAAGGCCATGAAAATTTGAACACCAATACACGGTAAGAGGCCAGGCATGAGTAAGAAGGAGAACATAACATCCTCCTTGACTGGTGGCACTGGAGCTGCCCAGTGGCATCCCAAGCTCTGAGCAGCTCATGTCACTGGTGCCTAATCAGCTAGGGCTTGAGGGCAGGTGTGAGGGACAGTGATAGCTCTTGTGGCACTGCAGCTCTGAAATGTAGAATGATTCAGAAGTGAGACATGAGCCAAAGCAAATTTAGAGGCTGTAGCAACATAATTGACATATTCAGAATGCTCTTGTGTTTTTATTGAGTCAGATGTGCTCAAAAGCCCTCTTTTTGCTTTTTCAAGTAAATTTAACATTAAAAAGTGCTGTTCTTGTGCAGAGGTATGTCAATCCCTGCAGTTTGTAAAGTAAAAAAGTGTTTCATGCAAGCAGAAAACATAAATCTCAGTGCCAAGTTAAAGAGACTTTAGCCAGATCCCTGGCTCCCTCCAGTCTGCACCTCATGGGAGAGTGTCTCTGCAGACAGGGAAGCCAGGACTAGTGATCTGCCATGGGGCACAGAGCAGCAGCACAAATCCTGGTAAAAGTGGTGCTCCATGTCCTTTTAAACTGATCTAAATTCTACTTCCTAGTTTTGTTGCTTTCCTCCATGTGTCTGCATCTTCTCCCTGCTGGTACTTGAGCACTGACAGCAAGCAGGTGCCCCTCCTGGCACCTCTCCTGGCAGGTACTGGAATGCTAGCACAGGCTTCGGATGAAAGCAGCAACAAGCATTGGTGAAGTAATGAGGTTCAGAGGAGTGAAAGGATTGACCATTTGAAATAATTTGACATTTCTGCAGATCAGCACCTTCAGCTCTGAGCTTCTGACAGGAGGCAGGCACGTGTCCTGGTGCCAAAGCAGGGCTGGTTCTAGCAAGAAGTATTTTAATTAACTCTGGGACTTCTAGATCTCTATTGAGAAATGGACATTTGTGAGATGTCTTTTGAAATTAAACCAATAAAATTTACCTAAATACAGATTGAGCAAAACCTTCTGAAGAGAGGGGACCAAAACAAGCCCAATCTGCAGGCCCAGAGATGAATTCTGTATCTCACTCACTTACCTCTAGTTATTTAATGAACAGCTCTGCAGATGTCTGTCTCCCTTGGGTAGGCCATATGTCAGGAAACATCAGCTAACCCTGTCCTAAAGGAAACTTCATCTCCTTTATTCCAAACATTCCAAACAACCTGCAGCAGCCTGACAAAGGCCACAGCCAAGGCTACACAAATAAAAGCATGTGTTTTGAAAGGCCATGGGCAAGCAAATCTGTTAGCTGTGGACCTTATACACTAGATCTTTTCCTAGCTCCACAATGAAAATGCCTCTGCTGGTTGTCCCCCTGGAGACCAGCCAGCTGAGATTTCTGAGCCTGCTCTGCAAAGTGAGATCTGCTGTTGGATGTGACTTGCCCAGTGTTTCTGAGTTTGCTCTGGCACAGCCTTGTTGAAGATGGGCCAAACACATTTTCATCTGGCTCCCTCGAAGGCCTATATGAAGGAATTTCCTTCTCAGTAAAAAAAAAAAAAAAAAAAAAGAAAAAAAAAAAAAAAAGAAAAAAGTCCTAGTCCCCAGTTCTAATTCCCCCCTCTCCCATCTCTGACATCTGCAGCAAGAGTATGGGAGGTGCTGCCAGGTCAGTAGGGGGTGTCTGTGGGTCCTGGGGAGGTGTCAGTGTCACCCAAGCCACAAATCAAAGCTCTCAGAACCCTCCCCACCAGCCCAGAGCAGGGTGTGGGTTTGGCCGGCACGGTCCGGAGCAGCTCAGCACCAGATTCAGCCGCTGTGCCCTCGCCGTGGTGGAGACGGGCCGGGATGTGCTATCCCAATGCAGGGAACAGCTGTCTTGTGCGGGACACCCGCACTCATGGGGTTCTGAGCCGCGACAAGCCCACAGAGGCAGGGGGAGGAGTTGTCCTGGGGCTCTGGGTCAGACCCTGCTCAGGTGTGACTGAGGAACCTGCAGAATGGGAAGAATTCAGAAGGGACATATTTGAGCCCTGATGCCATTCCGAGCGCTGCTTTCCCTCCCCCCTGCCCCGTCCCCACCCCACCGATCGGCCTCTTTACCATGACAAAGAGCCCGGAGGAGCGGGCCGCGGTGGATATTGCGGTCCGGGGCAGGCAATGGCCGGCTATAAAGGCCTGTCTGCGCTCCGGGGCTGCCTCAGCTCGGTGGTGGGACCTGCCCCCAGGTGGAGGTGACAGCTGGCGTGAGGGGACCCGCCCCTGCGGCCGTGCCCATGTGCGCGCACTTGGCGCTGCCGCCGTGCCCCGCGTACCCCGGCGGGGCCGCCCGGGGCCGCCTGGAGCTCGGCTGGAGCGCGGCCGGGGCCGCAGCACAGGCCCCCACAGCGGCCGGGCACTCTCCGCAGGCTGCGAGCAGCAGGCACACGGCAGGTAAGGCCTTCAGCTACACCCTGGAGCTCACCCCCAGGATAACCCTGCTACCAGGTCAGGCTCAAACGACTTTGAGCGGATTTTTCTCTTTCCCTGCCTTGGTTTCCTAGTGCGTGACCCGGGCAGAGTGCGCTGGGGTGGGCAAGGAGGAGGGGTGACCTTGGCCAGTCACACCACTCTTCCATGCTACTTTTCTTGGGTGGCTGCCAACCGGTTTCCTAAACCTCAAAAGAGCCTGAAAGAGTCGAGGCACTGTCAGGTCTGTGCTCCAGGCTGAAGGGCAGAGTGACAGTTTGGTCTTATGGAAGTTCATGGTTCTTGGTGCTGGGATGTCTGGGCCGCCTGTTAGTTAAATGCTGTCATTTGTGCCATCGAGAGAAACAGATCCTGGAGATACTTCTTGTGGCATCCCCCGTCCTCTTACAAATTCCTTGCATCCTTTATGCACTTATTAATCAGGAGCCAAGGCCTGCTCTGAATCACTGGGTGCTGGAAGATCTACTCCTTTAAATCTCGCATTGTTACTCACACTGCTTCTTTCATTTTGCCATTTCCGTCTATTTCCCTCTTATTTCTGTGCTCTGGTCCCTTTGCCTTTCCCTTTTGAACCAAAAAGTCCCAGGTGTCACCAGAGTGACATTTTCTGTTCCTGCCATTCCTCTCCCAGTCCAGTGAGGGGCAATAGAAGAGCTGATAAGAGCAGGTTTTCGCCCAGCCCCACATTATGGTCAGCGGGGCAACACCCTAGCAAGGTAAATGGGCGGGAGGAGAGGCAGGTTTTGGGGTGCCACTTTCAAGCTGTCAGTTGCTGTGGAAAGCTCCAGGTTCAGGCAGAGTGCCTATGGCTACTCGCATGTGGCTGCCTGCCGTGTAGCCTCTCTGTATGCTGCCTGCCCAACAAAGGCAGCAGGCAGTTGGACTCTGTGTGCCCCTGTTGGGTTTGGTACATAGCCTTTAACCCCATCTTCAAACACCCTCGTGCCTCTCTCAGAGAGAACCCCTGTAGTGGAAGTCGAGGCTTACAGATGTCAAGGCCTTGAGTGAGTGGGTATGTCCCTGGCTTTCATATTCATGTCTGTTGCACTCTCATGTTCGCATCTTGTTTGTGTTTCTTGCTTCCTCTCTCCTTTCCTCTCTTCTCATGAGAGAAGGAGCACTTTTGTCCTGAGCTCAAGCTGCACACGATACATTTTATGGGGCTTTGGGATGACAGGTCAGCTTTAGTTCTACAGTGTCTCGCTGTGGTTCCTAACAGGAGACTTCCCTGTTTTCCAGGCCCATGTTCCCAGCATACTCATTTCTTCCCTATGAGGTTTTTACTGCACAGCCTGCAGGAGCCAAGCATCCTGTGATACCACATGAAGTTTTAGCTTGCCATGCAGCCAGGTCACTGATGTTTGGTTTCCTCAAGGCTCTGCAGTCTAGCTCCATGCACATAACACTGCAGGCCCTTGCACCTCTTCTGCTGACAGCCTCTTCCTGCTTGCAGACAGAATCCCTTTGCAATCCTCATGGCCCCACTCCCCAGTGCTGGAAACCTGCCCCACTACACCCCTGGCTGTTCACCAGCCCCTGCTCTGGGTGCTGTCATCTCCTAGGGATAGCAAATGGCCCAGAGCAGGCAAACCCTGAGGGGCAGGCACCACAGAGACAGGCATGCCTCTGTCAGGAGAGTTACAAGGGGCACACTACCACAGACGTGGCCACCTTTCTGAGGTCCAACAGGACTCCAAGCCTTTTCAGTGATTGCTTAGTAGACTCTCAGCTTAGGACAGAAGAGGGAAAGGTTTTGTAGGATGGGTGGGAAGCCCATTCCTCTGGGGCACATCAGTGCTTTTGCTCTGGACATGTGTTCTGATGATTGAGGAGGGTGTCTCAGTGTCACAGCTCTCAGGGTGGCTGGTAAGGAGGTTGGGAGACATTGGTTGGGCTCAGTAGTCAGAAGGTGTGCGCTGAAATGGCACTGCCCCATTCACTGCACTCCCAGTAGGAGGAGAGGGGATGGACCATGCAGGACAGTTTGCAGAGGAGTAGCTGGAGGAGGGAGGGGTGGGCAGATTCATCACTGTAGTTGGGGAAAGAGGAGTGACTGCTATCACAGCCCTTCAGTCAGGTTGGCCTGAGAAGGTCTCAGCCTCTCTCAGACCCCAGTAATCTAGCATGTGACACATTTTCTTATTCCTGCAGCCTGAATGACTTTGCATCTTGGCAGGTTTTGTCTTCACTAGGAGCCCAGATTGTTCAGGAAACTTTTCCCTTAGCTCTTTACTTCAACTTTGCCATCAACAGAGATCCCTTAAGACATGTACCAGGACAAATTAGAAGGGGCTTGAATGCCTTCCTCTGCGCTCTTGAATTTTGTCCCCTATGTCCCTGGTACAGGATTGCTGCCTTCTTTCACCTGTTTCACATACTCACCTTTCCTCTCCCTCTCCTTTTCCGTGTGACATTTCTCTCCTTCATTCTTCTCTTGCCAAAAGCCCCTCTCAGACAAATTGCTCCTTCCACCTACGGTGTCTCCAGCAGTGGCATGGTCTGTGGTGGGAGACAAGGGCAAACAGGACTGAGCCAATATCCAATGCCTGATGTTCTCCACCTGCTGCCCTCACTGTGAGCACTGGCTGCTCTGCCCCACTGTACACCCTGGGCAGAGGCTGTTTTGTCTCTATTGAGTACCTTGGTATTGCTGGGCAGGCAGTTCTGGGGAGCCCAGCCAGCAACCCAGAGCTATGCTTGCAGTCATGACAAGGCCTTTTTACACCATAATCAGACTGAAATATTATTGAGGCCATCTGGAGGAGGAGAATTCACTGTGAACCAGTGTGCACCACGTTTTTGCACTGTTCCCTGCCCTGACTTTTCTGCCTGGCAGAAGGGAGTCATGAACATCTCAGAGGGGACTGAGCTGGGAAGCTGCTTGCTCTCAGTGTGCTTGTCTGTGCTCACAGCTCTGTGAAGAAAGGAGGGTCACACAAGCCTTTGCTTCTAAAAAGCTCCTGTCTGGTAGCCAAAGAGCTCTACAGCAGGCAGGGAGCATGCTCATACTCTTACAGCTAAACATTTTGTCTCTTAGACCTTTTCTCATTTTCTTTTTATTTATAGAAGTGTCCCCAGCTTCATCCAGTTCTGGGAATTTCAGCCAATTCACACCAGATTCAGCCACCAGTCCACATTCCTCATCCTCATCCCCACAGCCTTCAGCTAAGTCTCAGAAGGGCAGAGAATATGGCGTGGAGGGCATCAGGAAGACCAAGAGCCGCACAGCTTTCTCCAAGGAGCAGCTGCTGACCCTGCACCAGCGCTTCCAGAGCCAGAAGTACCTCAGCCCCCAGCAGATCCGGGAGCTGGCTGTTGCCCTGGGGCTCACCTACAAGCAGGTGAGCACAGAGACTTTGACCCACAGTGGCTGAGTGGTCACTTCAGGGAGTGACAGGATGGAAAGATGAGTCCCCAGCAGGGACTGAGGCCAAGGTGCCAGCTGACAGTTGCTCCCCTGCTTATTCATGCCCAGACATCAGAAGCAGTTATGCAGATAGAGGGGCCAGTGGCACCTCATTTGGGCCTCCCAAGTCGAGGGTCAGTCAAGGGTTCTGTTGCCAACAACCGTAGTAGAATTGCAAACCCAGTGATGAATATGTTGTTCACCACAAACAGTCTCTACCCTGGGCTTTGCAGCGCTTCACAGATTTTTTTCATGCGCTGTGAACTTCTCAGAAACCCTGGCATGCATCTGTTCTCTGAATCACAGGGCTGCTGCAACATGCTGAAAGCTCTTGCTAGTGTCTCCTGGGTCTTATCTTGTCCAGTATCTAATAGTGCTCCACACTCAGCACTGCCTGGCTGCTTGACATGTGCTCCCTCCTCCCCATGGGTTCTGCTAGGTTCACACATCACTGCCCTTTAGGGTCTCTGCTGATCTCCAGGTAGGTTGTGTGTGGTGAAATGATGCTGCCTCCAATGATGCCTTCCTAAAGCAGGGGGGGCTGGGCAACGGGGCACAAGAGCTCGCAGTTACAAGTTCAAAATCTTCCTGAAATTTGAATCTCAGAGCTGGGCAGGATGGCCGGGATGCCCTGGGACTAAAAGAGTTATATGTGCATTGTAAGTGCACGCAGTGAACTGGTTCTGTCAGGAACAAGGCAGGTGGGACAGTCTGCTCTTTCCTTCAATCCACATCCCTGCAAAGGCTGCTTTCACAGTGCAGACACAGCCCGGGGGGTAATTGGCCCTGGAATTTGCCTCAGCTAGCAGCTTTGAATTTGGAAACTGCTGGGGACAAGGAGCAGGTCTGTCCCTTCTCTGTTCCCAAACACGCAGAAACAGCGTCTTAGAAGTTTGCCTGTAGTGCAGGGGGCTTGTAGAAGTGTCAGTGGGTCTGATTTACACCAGTCATGCACGTCCATGTTCAGAATGAGTCCATTTATCCCAGCTATCCCTGTCTCCTGACACCGAGCCACCCCCTCCCCCATCACACAGTTGCAGTAGCCACCTGCTGAGGCTGCTAGACAGACTCTCCCCGTGGCAACACCCCCCAGGAGTTCCTAAAGGCTTTTATCTGCTGCTGCCCATGTATCTCTGCCATCTGGTCACTCCCTCTGGTTCTTCCTGCTTGTGAATTTGGTTACATTTGTTCTTCTCTCTCCTTTGCTGACATTTTCTTTGCTTTCCCTTCCCCTCCCAGGTGAAGACTTGGTTCCAGAACCGGAGGATGAAGCTGAAAAGGTGCCAGAAGCAGAGCCTGTGGAGCGAACGGGCTCAGTGTCTCACGCAAGTAAGAACACAGCACGTGGCTCATCATGGCTCTTCTGTCTGGGCAGATCAGTCCCCTGTTTCCTCCATGGGGGCAACTGAAGCATAGGAGTGTGAGCGTACCCGGCCTTCTGGTTAGCTCAGTGCAGAGGCACAAACTGGGCACCACACCAAGTGTACTGGTGGTAGCCCAGCAGTGGGCTGGCTGTACCACAGAAACGTTTCCAGGCAAAAGCTGTTTTCCTCTTACGTGTACATGATTGTGTATCCACCCCTGAACTATGGGAATGGGCATAGTTCTTCTTGCCCTCCATGCCATGAAATGTGTAGGGACAGAGCCCCAGTACGCGTCAGGCCTGTGGACGCCAGTGGAGAAGCTCTGTGTTCTGACTCTCTGCCTTTCCCTTTCAGAGTGGCTTCCAGAGCGGAACTTACCTGGATGTGCACCCCAAATTCCACCAGGGCTACCCCATCACCACAGCTGGCAACATGCAAGCCATGCCTGCCCCCTGTCAGCACTATGGAGCAGGGCAGAACGCTTACACAATCCTGACCAGCGAGGATGGAGGAGTCTTTGGCAAAGGCGGGGGCACCTGCAGTGTCCAGCAGACAGTGGGCTTCATTGCTCAGCACAAAGTAGACTTTTACCACAGCTATCCTGGCAGTGTGGAATATCCAGGCTCCAAGACAGGTGATGGCTGTAATTTTCACCACTCAGCCACCATGGGGGCTCCTTTCCCAACTGCTGCCAGCCATCATCTTTATCATTCCTAAGCACTGTGGATGTGGGGTACTTGGGCAGCCAGGAATCAAATCTTTTTCTCATCTCTCCCGTTGTTATTCGTGTGCTGGCCACCTCAGGGACACCTTGTAGCTAAAACCTGTTTTGGCATCCAGATGTGTGCCTGCAGACATGCAGCTGTGCAGAGACTCAGACCCATTTGCCCAGGTACATGTACACAGAACCCTTAATTTCTATGCTCTTACATGTGCACACACATATTACTTTCTTGATTGGCACAGACAACCAAGCTCTCTTATGGCAAATTCCAAGATCTGCCTACACAGCTTATGCCCTGAATCTTCTTAATTATGGATTGTGTAACTTGTCTAAGGGGAAGCACAGATTCCTTTGGGAATCTCATTTCTATGTATCACTGTACAGTTGTGTGTACATAGCGCATGATGCCAGGGTCTGTATGGAGAGGTGCTGGTCACTTACCTTTAATTTAAGTTGGAGAAGTTATTGCCACGTGCCAGTTATCCATTTGAAGTGTAATCCATCAGTTCTGTATATCAGGCATGAGGTGAAGTGTTGAAGTGTCTAATGAAGGGAGTTGTAACAAAGTAGCTTGCAGAAAGGCTGGTAAGATGATTTTATAAGCCCTTCCTTCTAGTCTGTATCTTTCTGTGCCTCCCCCTGAGAAAACCTAACAGTGCATTCAATTTGGCAAATAAAAAAGAGTACTTTTAAAGCTGCATTATGTATTTTTATATATCTCTTTTTTTTCCCACTGCAATAGAGCATTGCAATATAAAAACCAGATGGAGCATAAATAGCCATAGCAACTGTATGCCATTGTTATTTGATGCTGAAACTATAAACAGAAATTATTCTGTGTTATTAGTGGATCAGCTTCATGTCTCTTGGCAATGCCAGATATCTCGAGTCAAAGGAACAGGTGAGTAACTCACTCATCTTAAGAATTTTCCATATCCAGCAGTAGTAAATAGGGGGACTGTTATGGAGGTACTATAATTTCTAAACTTGTCCGTGGAAGTGTCTAAGTACCTAAAACCAGATGTGTGCAGCAAAGTATATGCAATAACAGGCCTCCAGTTCCCTGAGTCACACACTTTCTATCACTTTGATGATGACAACAAATTTCTCTTAATGCAATGAAGTAGCTGCCATGGTTAAAGAAAAGAGCATGAAATGAAGGCAGTGATTTCAATGACTGGAGTAATAAGAGGCATGGAATTCTATTGGCAAAGCTGATTTATGTCCCTGTGCCTCACAGCTGTTTGTTCCCTCTCTCACTCCCTCATGCAGACACTGACTCTACTGTAAACTGTATGGTGTGCTGACTTTGGCTGTGTTCGTTAATTTTCTTCACAGTATCTGGCATGGGGCTCTGTTTTGGATTTGTGCTGAGAATGGAGTTGATAATACAGAGATGTTTTCATTATTGCTGAGCAGGGCTTGCACAGTGTCAAGGCCTTTTCTGCTTCTCATTATCTCCCTGAGAGTGAGAAGGCCGGGGGTGCACAAGGAGTTAGGAGGAGACACAGCTGGGAAGACTGACCCCAACTGACCAAATGGATATTCCATACCATATGGCATTGGGGTCAGTGTAGAAAACTGGGGGGAGGAAGAGGGGACATGCAGAACGATGGTGTTTGTCTTCCTAAGGAATCATTACACAGGATGGGGCTTTGTTGTCCTGGAGGTGGCCTGCCTATGGGAAGGGGTGAATTAATTCCTTGTTTTGCTTTGTTTGTGTGTGCGGCTTTTGCTTTACCTATTAAATTGTTTTTATCTCAATCCACGAGTTTTCCCGCTTTTAGTCTTCTGATTCTCTCTCCCATCCCAGTGATGGGGTGTGATCAAGTTGAGTGGCTGCACGGTGCTCATTTACTGCCTGGCATTGAACCACAACACGTGGCCGGCATGATTTGGGAAAAGATAAAGCCTTTTGGATGGTGAGTCACATAGTCTTGGCACAACCCCCGCCCTTCTCCTCTTGCAACCATCAAGCGGCTAAGGATGGGCAAGACTGTTCTTGAAACCAAGGGTGGGGAACAATTAAGTCGACTGAAAAGGTGCTGGCTAGCATGGGAGGGTGGACAATAGCGGCAATTATCAAGGCTCTCATACCAGAATGAAGATATTTTTCAGTTCTTCTCAAGCCGACAGTTCTGTTTACTTACCTGAATATAACCCAAAACCTTTCCATGCCAACCCATCAAAGGCCGCTGTAAGTGAAAAAAGTTGAGCTTGCAGCACGTCCTCACTAATAATTCTCTGGCAAAGGAGCCACATGTCATGCCCTGCTCCTTCAGAGATGCTTTAGGACAGGCAGGATTTTGCTGTGGAGGCTCTGGGACTGGCTTGCAGAAAGCTGTTGTCTGTAAGAGCAACAGCTGCGATCTCCCTGCTATTGACCTTCAGCAAAGTAGTGCTAACAAACAGTGCCTAATCTTGCGGTTTCCTCAGAGACACAATTTTTCAGAGGTAACATCCACAGATAGACCTTATTGCCACAGGTGGTTAAGGAGTCCAAAAGCCTGCAGCAATTCCAAAAGGGCAAGTAAGCAGCTCCCAGGAAGGGAGATCACTGATGTCTGTATCGGGAGCTGCATTCCCAATGTTCTGTGTAAAAACAGCAGGAATGTAGCTACTGTTAGAGGGAGGCCTTCAGCCCCAGCCAGCCAGAGGGACACTGGGGACTTAATTCCTTTTCTGGTCTTTCTCTAGTATCTAAGCAATGACTTTGCTGGATCTTGGGGCTCCCCCAAAGCAGAAGTCCCAGTGTTGTAATTTGTAAAAGGTTTAATGGCCTGGACACTCTCCAGCTGCTAGACAGCAGATGGACTTTTGTCAAGTATGAGAAATTAATTCTAGCCTGGTTATGAAAGAGATTCTCAGATATGACCTGAGGGAACTCTTCAAAACTTTGGACAGCAGGAAGACTGTATGACCCTCACAGGTTGGAAAATACTTGGGATTGTGGTTTCTTGGGTTTTTTGTTTTGGTGATTTGATATTGGGGTTTTTTTTTAGTTTTTTTTTCCTTTTATTTTAATATCCAAGTGCAATGATTTAGAATAATTCATACCTCATGACTATTCAGTATCAGCCAATATGCTGCTGCCCTCTGATGACAGGCCAGGCAAGAGACATGTGGCAATGCCTGACTGAAAATTTCCAAAACCCTGCTAGCTCAGCCTTCAGGTCATGTGGTGTAGTTAGATAGCTAAATATGCTTACATATGCCTCTAGGGAAGAGCCTATTAAAGCAAAGATCATTACTTTTATCTGCACTGGAGAGACAACTGGAGCTGTGAGCCCTTGCTCCTGGATCACTCAGAAGAAACATGTAGCTTGTGAAACCCCTGCAGGCCACACGGACTTGGAGAGCAAGGAATGAGGTTGTTTCCACTGCTCTTGGTATTTCCCTGTGGGATAGCTGGAACCCAATGAAATACAGAATAAAATCCTGGTCTGCAACATCTATACCAGACCAAATTTCTTCTATTTAGGTGGAGTTCTCTGCATCACTGGAACTACATCTGCAGCTTTTTTGTCACTGCAGATATTGTAAATGAGGAGTGCATTCCCACAAGCTGTAACATGTATGAAGAGTTCCAAATCATCTTACAGCTTAATCCTAAAAAGATTTGCTAGCAAGCAAATCATGTTTGCAGTGTGCAGAAGTCACTGTTACACAGCAGAGTCATGAGAAGCAGCAGTCCTAACAGAAGTGTAATGCATCCTAGCAGAACGCTTTTGCTGGCATGCACTTTCTTCCTCTAAGGAACTAATACCAACACTTCTGCAAGGATGAGGCTGGAGGTACCTGCATCTCCACCAGTTTTGGTAGTAGTGCCCAATTACCTGTGCAGTTGTTTCACATGGTGATGTGATTCAGGCATGAGAAGGTAACAGAAGAGATCACCAACTCTGTGGAAAGACAGAGTCCTGTTTTTTTAATTCCACAGGCTCTAGAAACACTTCCTGGGCAGCTGTGAGTCCTCTCCAGCCCACCTTCCAAAACTCGAAGAACAGCTGCTCCGCATGCTCCCTCCAGCTACGTGTGCTTGCCAAACCTGCACACAACCCAGGCTGAGCAATCAGGGGAATAACACAGCCACGAGGGAACACTCAATTTCCACAGAACACTCCCACAGTACATGGAGTAACAAACCACAACATGCAGAGCAATCATTTTCAGCCCCAGGGTTGTTTTAGCAAGAATATCTGTTTTTGCAGAAAGACATCTGCCAGCAGAGTTCTGCCTATCTCTTTACCTTTGCAGCAGACACGTGGAAACAAAACATACAGAGCAGCACAGGTAAACTGCAGCAGGCATCCTCTGCAACTGTTTTGCAAAGATCTGTATATTACTTCTTTAAAGACTGCATCTTAGAAGAACCCCAAAATCATAAGCTGCTAATTCTAAAGCTGAAAGACAAGGCATAGTATGTATGACTTGTATAGGTGATTTTTATGGTTCACCTCTATTTTTTTCAAGTCAATTGTTTAAATTAATACTATTGCTAGAAAATTACCCAAATTCATTCAATGCTACTGGGATATGAATCTCCCATCCAGATGAGAGAGGAGCTCTTGCTCTGTAATACAAAAAACCAGGTGAACCCGGCATTTCCCCCTCTTCCAGGCCAGATTAACCTTTTTCTCCTGTTTTAAGCTTGGCAGCCCAAACATACCAGTGACTCATTCTTTTGTCCTCTATACAGGCTCAAGCCTCTGCTCCTCTCTCCTTCCTGTACCTACTGTACCTTGCCTCGGGAGCAGAGGATTGCAGCGTTGCAACAGGAAAAGAGGGGATGTGCTTTTGCACCCACACAAGCAGGGTCTGTTCAGCAAAGGACCTGCAGCAGTCTGAGCCTGAGCAGAGAGCTGCCAGTTCAGCTAATTGTGCTCGGTGAGGTATCCATTGAATTACCCCTTTTGGACAGGTGAAGGGCTTCAGTGGTGTAGGGTACTTTGAAGAACAAGGCATTAAACCTAAAGACAATTTCTGTTAGTTA